CCTACGGGCTGGGAAAGTAAATACAAGCAAAGTAAATAAATAAATAATTCTGCCCAAACCAAAGGGTTTTCTAAGTTCAAAGAGAACAGAGAAGGCACCGATCGAGTTTCCCGTGGGAGTGAATGACATTCAAAGAGATGCCAGAGCTTTCCACAAATGGAAAAACATTCCATGTTGCAAAACCTAAATGCTCAAGGTGAAATGGAAAGAAACCTCTGGATCCGACCGTGGCCAAAAACGACCCCTGGAAACTATTCATCTGTGACTGATCTAAAAATGTCCCAATGTTCAATCGTGTTATCACAAGGCAGATGTCCGCCTTCCCAGGTAACCGCTGGCCATGGGCCACTTTCACTCACAGCAGGGGTATAAAAAGGGTGGTTCTGTCGTAGCCTCTTCCAATAGCATCGTTTCCCAGAAAGAGGTAACATGGCGGCTCTCTGGTTCCTATCCTGCCTGGCGCTTTTCAGTGCCGCCCAAGGTAAGACCCTGCAAGGTCCCTTCGTGGTCGCCAAAAGGGGTTGGGTTGGATTAAATATCTAGATATGGCTCAACGGCAAGAGGTTGCTAAGAGCTCTCCATACTATGCACCAATCATAGTTAAACCACTATAGCTCCATCATTTGGAACTGTAGGATTTGTAGTTTCATCAGGGTGCAGTTTAAACCCTCTGCTAGAGAGTTTCCTTCCTAAGCTGTAGTTCCCAATGTTACCCTTGTGGAGAGAAAAAATGGAATATAAATAAATGTTGATATTATTATTATTATTATTATTAATATTTTAGGAACTGCAAGGGACTAAGTAGGCTAGACCTTTCCAAGAGAATGTTATGGACTGCACTGTGCTGCAAATCCCAGGCTTATATAGGAAGGTAGTATAATAATTAAATTGGGCTCAAACTGCTTCAACTATATAGTGTAAACCAATGGTTCCCAACCTTTTTTTGACCAGGGACCATTTTGACCAGGGACCACTTTGACCAAGGACCACTTGAAGAGGGACCACTAGACGAGGGACCACTTTGACTGGGGACTACTTTGACCAGGGGCCACTTGACTAGGGACTACTTGACCAGGGACCACTTCAACCACTTCACCAGGGACCGCTTTGACCAAGGACCACTTAAAGAGGGACCACTAGACTAGGGACCACCTTGACCAGGGACCACTTTGACTGGGGACCACTTGACCAGGGACCACTTTGACCAGGGATCACTTTGACCAGGCACCACTTGTCCAGAGACCACTTTACTAGGGACCACTTGACCAGGGACAACTTGAAG